CCCCTCAATTCCCCCCTTTGCTCCCCCCCCAGGCTCATCCCCATCCTGGTGAATGGCATGAAGTACTCGGAGATTGACATCATCCTGCTCAAGGTACGAGGTCAGGGTGAGAATGTCAGAGTGCCTGGCTCCCCATGCCTCCTCCAGCTCTCGGGGGCTGGTACTGGTTAACTGGAGGGACTGGGGCAAGGCAGGAGCTGCCCCGAGACCTTCTGGACATGATGACAGATTCAGAGCTGATGCCGGTGATGGCTGTTGTGTTCGTACTGTCTGATCCATGGGGGCCAGGGGTCCCTGGGATGGGAGGTTGGGAGTCTCCGTGGTGCGACGTGATGTCCCCTGTCCCTGCAGGGTGATGTGGAGGAGGACGAGGCCATTCCTGACAGCGAGCAGGACATCAAGCCCCGCTTCCACAAGTCCCGCACGGTGACACTGCAGCACGAGGAGGAACGGCCACAGGACCCTGATGACACGGAGGATGAAGATGATGACGACACGCTCTCAGACTGGAACCTGAGTATGGGCTCGCTAGGGGTCCTGGCCACAGCTTTGGGCTCTGGTGAACCCTGGGGGTTACCCCGAGGTGAGATGGTGCCTGTTTGGGAGGGATTAACCCCAATCCCTCTTGCCTGCCCGGCAGGGAAGTGCTCAGCTGCCGCGCTGGACGTCCTGGCCAATGTCTTCCGGGAAGAGCTGCTCCCCCACCTCCTCCCACTGCTTAAGGAGCTCCTCTTCCACCCCGAGTGGGTCATCAAGGAGTCAGGCATCCTCGTTCTGGGGGCCATCGCGGAAGGTGGGTGCCACGCTGCCTGCAATGGGCTGTCCCCAAGCCACCGCCGTGCCGGCGCTGGGGGTCTCTGAGCCTCCCTGTGCCCTCCAGGCTGCATGCAGGGCATGGTGCCCTACCTGCCGGAGCTGATCCCCCACCTCATCCAATGCCTGTCGGACAAGAAGGCGCTGGTGCGCTCCATCGCCTGCTGGACCCTGAGCCGCTACGCCCACTGGGTGGTCAGCCAGCCCCCTGACATGTACCTCAAGCCCCTCATGACCGAGCTGCTCAAGCGCATCCTCGACAGCAACAAGCGGGTGCAGGAGGCGGCGTGCAGGTAAGGGCTGGGGGACAATTTGGGACCGCCTGTGGCATTTTTTGGGCAGGATCTGCTGGATCTGAGCCCTTCTCTGGGCAGGATGATAAAATTGATGTGTTGAGTCACTGTGATGATGGCGTATTCGTACTGTCTGACCCAGAGTGGGGGCGTGCAGGGGGCTCGGCTCTGGCCCGGGGGGTGCTGCTGACCCTTTCTCCCCCCACCCAGCGCCTTTGCCACACTGGAGGAGGAGGCCTGCACGGAGCTGGTGCCGTACCTCAGCTTCATCCTGGACACGCTGGTCTTCGCCTTCGGCAAGTACCAGCACAAGAACCTGCTGATCCTCTATGATGCCATCGGGACCCTCGCTGACTCTGTGGGGCATCACCTCAACCAGCCGGTACGATATGGGGGGGGGCCCCATCCTGGTGGTCCTCTCGCTCCCCACGGTGCCCCAGCCCGGGACCGGTGATGACAAGTGACAACAGACATTCGAATCCCGAACCCGCAGTGTGGATCTCTCTGGTCTGATGGTCCCTGGGCTGAGGGGGAGCGGCCCTGTGCCCCCCACATCCCCCCCCTGGGGCCCCCCCGCTGTGACAGCCTCTCTACCCCGGGGTGCAGGAATACATCCAGAAGCTGATGCCTCCGCTCATCCAGAAGTGGAACGAACTGAAGGACGAGGACAAGGACCTCTTCCCGCTGCTGGAGGTGAGCCGTGGGGTGCAGGGGGGGGTGGCGGGGGGGGGGTGTCTGTCCCCTTTGCCTCCTCCCACCCCCCTG